TAACATATACTGCTGTTTGCAAATTATTCTGTGAATTATGAATTATGTAAATGAATTATGTAAATTGAAATGATTTTTAAAAATTGAATATATTGTATACCAATTTACAGTAGTATAATTGGTCTGTTGATATTTAGCGAGTTTTGAAATGTTTAACTAGCATACTTTATGATGAAAAAAAATAACTACCATTTTAATTAATATAATACATAATAATACTATATTACAGCCTTCTTTGTATTAAATTTCTCTATACTAGTACATATTTTTTCTAATGAAAGGTTTAAAAAGACTGTAAAAAGGCAATCTCATTTCGCTGCTTTACATTCGCAATTTGTCGTTTGATAGTCGTTTGATGTCGCAACAGTCCTTTGATATCTAGAACGAAGGAATACATCGCTAGATAAAGCGGATTAAAGCTCAACACGAGAAACACATCGAACCGGACATTCCGATAATTAAATTCGTGGTTGAAAAATTGATGGTTCTATCGCGTTTCCTGCATATCGAATTTTTCCTCGCTTAACGAAAACAGATTAAAACGTATTTAGTCGTGTTAACGTTTTATTGGTACGGCTAGCACCAATGTAATTTATTTTCAGTATTAAGAATTGTAATTATTGAGAAGTAGTAAATTAAATTCATTATTTAAAATAGTTGACGAGCAACTAATTCTTAAATAAATGAATCACGTACTCAACAAATTTCATTTCAAATGTTTTTGATGACTATTTTATAATTTGCTGCAAACAGTAAATATTTTTATTGAATAAAATTCTGCGTCAATCAAATAATGACTTTTCCACTGCTGCAACGGTTGCGAATGTTGCATGCAACAATGACTATTAAGTTTCAATTGTGTACGACATGAATGCAGAATTTAAAAACTTCTAGTACTTTGCAGACGCATGATTGAAATAATTGTATTCTTAATAAAGAGAATAAATTGTCTGATTGACTGACAGATGTTATACAACAAACTGTATAGTTACCTGAACAGAAAGTTTTTCTGCTTTCCTTTAATAAAAGAATATTAACCTATATTCTTTATGCAGCGGTTGAATAATATAATGAATAATATAATTCTCATTGATCTATACGAATGGACAATGCTCGATAAGCTTTTCAATATATTCTTTGTGGACATTTCGTAATTGGGATAGGAACTGTTTTCGAACTCGATTATTGACGTCCACGAATACTCGAAATCTCTGCTGCTCGAATGATCTTACAGGTGTTAATGAAACAACACCAAACATTTTATAGCTTTATTAATGATTTAAACGGAATTATGAAATATATACGTTTAGTTGATAGTTGTCTTGTTCCAGGATAACGTTTTCCAATTAATATAAGATATATAAGGTATATACGAAGAAACGAAATATAATTCTCAAGAATTTGATTCTTAAATATTGATATATTAACGTGACATGATCCAAAATTTGTTAAGTGTATTTTTTATAATTATAACGAAACTTAAGATGTAATGCTTCTTTTTAGTGTCCTATTCATAGTTACAAAAGATCGCATATTAACCATAGTTTATTAGAAATTTGTTACAGATATTCATTTGCAATAGAACATCCCCTAAATTTTGCGATTCTAGCTTTGTGTTATTATAAACACTCTCTTTCTCTCGCTCTCTATGCGATAACGCCTAAACATTATTACTGTTTATGTCTTCCATAAATCTATTAAATTCAGAACTTTGCATTATTCAATTCTCGGTTCATTTTATAGAGATCGAACAGAAAAACTTTGCCTTACTTCTTCGATCAGTTGAGAGCTTCAGAAGGCAGGGTAGTAATGGTCCGGCATATTCATCGAACGAGGGTTAAATTATGCGATTTCGCTGAATTAATTAACTTTTGTAAGTAATTACAGTAGTAATCGAACTCCATTCAATCAAACGTTATTCGAATTAATTAGCAATAAGAAGATAAATTTTAGAAGTTTAGCTTTAGAAGGGGCAGGGTAGTAATGGTCCGGCATATTCATCGAACGAGGGTTAAATTATGCGATTTCGCTGAATTAATTAACTTTTGTAAGTAATTACAGTAGTAATCGAACTCCATTCAATCAAACGTTATTCGAATTAATTAGCAATAAGAAGATAAAGTTTAGAGCTTTAAGGCTGGATATTATTCAGTAAATGAACGAATAAATTCTTGATTCTATGTAACTCATTTACGTTATTTGTAACTATTACAATTATTACTTGTATTATTATTCTAATTTAATTTTCTGTTATATCATTATTTGTATTGTTACTATAATTTGCTTTTTTATCTTACTAGCACGACCAGAACTAATTAATCGCAACGAAAAATTGTTTATAATTTGATGAGTACTAACTTCTAAACTACTGTTTTCGAGATTTCTTTCTTTTGTTTGATGCATACTGCTCTGGGAGTTCTGAATCATTTTTTATCGGG